ATTGAAACAAAAAAATAATTAAAAAACGGGAATGGGAAATTTTTTTCTTGAGCTATTTCTGAATAAGCACTCTCAAAATTCTTTTACAATGAAATTTTATGACATGAAAACAAATAATAATCATGTCAGGATAATAAGTATTAACTAGGATTGTCCCAGGCAATCCAGTTTGTATTGGTTATCCAACATTTGAAGTCTTTATCAGAAGCGCCACTCGTTGTGATTTTGGTGATTCTGTGTTCAGGCTCTGGATGGACCTGCTTGGGTTGAATTCTAACTTAGTTACTTATGAGCTCTGTGACCTTGATTCTTTTACTTAATCTCACTGTGCCTTGGTGACTTAGTAAAATGGAGGTGATAATAGCACAGCTACCTAAAAAGGGTTATGGTGAACTTAAATGAAATAACACCTGTCCAGTTCTTGGAAGCACTTAATATATGTGTTAGAAATTTATTATTACTAATATTATTATTGTAATCTCTCCATTTTTCTGTTCACAGTTTTACAAAACTGAGGTCATACATGTACAATTCCCTACTCCCCTTTTGTTACACAATATTATTTTCATATGTTTTTAAAACTTTGTAAATTGTTTCAATGGCTGTAAAACACACTATTCAAAATTTTAATTTGGTTAATGGTTCTTATTCTAGCAGATCTTTACCATTATTTTGTCTTATTTTTAATAATATAAATTAACCCATATATTCCCGATCTCACCAACTTTAACTATAATCCCATTATACTTGATTTTTACTTAAAAATTTTAACCTTATTGTTAAAAATAATCAAATACAGAAAACAACATAAAAACATACAGCTTAATAAATTCCATGAGAACATCCCTGCAGCTCCCACCAATGTGAGCTGATAACACTTTGCTACCCACCTCAGATGTCCCCCACACGCTCAAGCCCAGTGGAGCCCCCTCCCCCCACCTAAGGGTAGCTACTATTCTGATTCAATGATAATCACTTTCTGACTTTTCTTTATAGTTTCATCACTCAAGTGCATACCTAAATGCTTTCTATTTTAACATGTCGATTTTCTCTCTCTCTCTCTCTCTCTCTCTCTCTCTCTCTCTCTCTCTCTCTCTCTCTTTCTCTCTCTCTCTC